CTCTTGGGAAAGAATTGAGTTAGGTCGGTGGTTCAAACCCGTCATCCACTCTGCAGGAGAAAGATGAGGCTGCTGCTCCCGTAAGGATGTTTTCACCTTGGGAAGGGCGGAGAGTAAGAGTCAGAAGGAGCCACGTCAGAACCGTCAGTCAGGTGGATAGCTAATGATTTCTCGCCTAAAGCCCTGCCCTTGTTTGATGAGAGGCAGGGGTCTAGTCATGGCAGAGAAGGACGGTTTGATGAAGCTTGTCCTCCCAGGTGTTTTTTTCTGCTACAGCTTTGGCTAACTTTCTCAAAACACTCTCACAATAAGCAGATGGTATTGTTCTTTGGCCCTCCAGAAAGTCAACAAGCACAATGTCTTGAACATAAAAAAATTTTTTAAAAGCCCATTAGTTGCCATGGCCCTTCCTCTTGAGTCCACGTTTTCTTGGCCCAGACACTTCCACATCGTGGTAGCCATTGCGTGGATTGTGCTTTGCCTTCAGGATCGTACTGTTATCGTTTTGTGAAAAATGCCTTCATGATCTCGATGCTGCTTGTCTAAAACTCCCACTGAAAGCTCTGCTCTAGTCTGCAGAGATTCTAGGGAAGTCAGTTTTGGCGCCCATTGAGAAAGTGTGCTCAGCTTTAATTGTTTAGTCAGAATTCTGTAAGCTGGCCCCACGGAGATGCCAAGGCTGGCTGCTGTTAATCAGTGTTCTCCAGATAGGGCGAGAGAACAAGAGTAATTTTTTTCCTTGCAAATTCATGCGCATGCTCTGTTGCTGAGGGCTGCATCTCCAGTGCCTCCTCATTTCTTCATATATCTAGTTTTCCATTTGTAAAATGCTTATTTCTTTGGGGCATTGTCCCCATCAAATTTTCACAAGACATCAATGGTTTCACCATTCTCCCACCCACGCTTCATCATAAATTTGATGTTTGTCCTTGCTTGAAATGTAGCAAAATTCATGTTGCGTTGATCAGGGCCCTTTTCAAATGATGTCTTAGATCCTTCTTCGTGCCTCTAACTAGATCCTGTTCAGACATGTGATAACAAGTCAAAATGAGATTATTTTTATGCAAAAGCAACGCGAAGCCCATGAATTTTTTCCCCACGATATGCATTTTCCATGAACTCATTGAAGATCCCTTGTATAGATTTCCTGTTTTCTTGAGCTGGGAGCCAGCTCCCCACTGTTCCTTAATGGAGGGGTTGATGGGCCGATGGAAGGACAGGCAGATAGCGGCCATCGAGTTAACTCTGACTCCTGATGGCCTGATCTGCATCATTCCCATGGTCACTGGCATGTGTGTCCACGCCTGCCATTGTACCAGTCCATCTCTAAGCCATTTGCCTGCCTGGTGATCCCTAAGATAATCACTGGGCTTTCCTTCCTAGTTGGTCTTAATCTGGAAGCTCTGCCATCACCTGGCCACCATGGAGAACTCTACTGGTATTTTAAATGCTGTTGGCATAGCTTCGAGGAATTGCGTTAAGGATTGTGAAGCTGGTTCTGACTCACAATGGCCCCATAGACAATAGACCGTAACCCTTCCCAGTCCACCAGTACCATCCTCACCATCATGCCTATGTCTGAGCTCCTGGTCTCCACCACTGACTGTGTTAATCCATCTCTTGAAGGGTCTCTCACTGACCCTCTATGTTAGCAATCATGATGTCCTTCTCCGGGAAGCAGCCCTTCCTGATAACAGGTCCGAAATCTCACCATGCTCACTTTGAAGGAGCATTCTGGCTGTCTGCCTTGCAAGAAAGGTTCTGGGAGCTCTTCTGGCAGTTGCTGGTACATTCCGTATTCTCCGCCAATACTGTAATTCAAAGGCATTCTTCCTCCTTCCTCGCCCAGCTCAAACTAGCCCCTTTGAGGCCATGGAAAATCCCAGGGCTCCCATCAGGCTCACCTTCATCCCCAACATGACGCCTTTGCTCTTAACCACATTTAAGAAGAGGTCTTCTACCACAGCTCTGCCCAGGTCATTTGATTTCTTGACAGTTGCTTC